GGCCTGGCGTGCTCTGGTCCATGGGGTCACGAAGAGTTGGACATGAATTAACGACTAAACAACAACCGTCATCATCCAGTTGGCAAGAAAGAATGCAAACTGACTTAGGTCTCTGGCTGCAGAGCCAGAGGTTGGGAGTTCGAATCCTCCCTGGGCCTCCTTGACAGAGGCTGGACTGGATGATCTTTAGGGGACCCTTCCAGCTCTGCATTTCTAAAATGATGATGATGAGAGATAAAAGTTTTGGGCTGGGTCCCATTTCAGAGCTCTGATCTTCTTCTTCTCCGTCCATCCTGCAGAAACACGCTCCGGTTCAAGGAACTCTTGAGCCCGCTGGTGGCCCCCAGGGAGGAGAGTCCCCAGCCAGGATGGCCAGCAGACCTATGAGTCCAGAAGGCCTGCCTCTCGGACGTGCCGGATGTTTTCTGCAGGGAGGAGGATGCGATGAGCAAGGACCCCCGCAACAGAGTGGATGCCGTTCTCATGAGAGATGAAGCGGATGGCGTATTCGTCTGTGGAGGCAATAGCAGGGCGGTCATGCAGCCTGGGCAGACGCCAGAGGCTAAGCTGACCTCAGCTGGGGGGGCAGCCAGAGGCTCTGCGGGGTTCTCCCGTTGGCGTCCCCTAGAACTCATCTCTAATACAATCCAGAAGGGCTGCCTCTCAGTCATGCTGGATGTTTTCTGTAGGGAGGAGGATGCTATGACCAGCCCTGGCGGGACCCACTGCTTCAGGTGGCAAATGTGGAGCAGCATGCAGAGCTTGGGCGGGGGGGGGGAATCCCCTTTTTTGACTCCAGAATCCTCCTACTAGCACATCCAGTGGGGTACAGAAACCATCATCCCCAGAATTCCCTACCACAACAGATTCATGGCTTGGGACGTAGGGGCACCTTACCCGAAAAGTAGCCATCGCTACTGTTAAGGCTTTGGTCCCATTCCAGAAGGGGAGAAAATTCCACCCTCATGCTCAGCGGGATTTGGACCCAAATGTCACTAGTAAAAGATGCTTCTCTTCCACAACTTTTTTTTAAAAAAAAACTCGAGTAAATGTGTAAGAAATCCATTTTCCCACTGGAGTTTCTTTTGGAAAGCTATCGATCCAAACCCTGCTGAGTTGGTTTGTTTTTTCCTCTCGCACATGTAAACAACAAGACAGAAATCACGGCAGCTACTTGGCGCTCGTAAATGACCGGGCACGCAACCAGCACCGTGTGGTTAGCGTCAAGTTGCCGTTGTATTTTTGTTTGTACACAGGCCTAATTAAAAATGAATCAAAACAAAAGAACGCGGTTCCTGTTGAGCATTCTGTTGAGCTGACTGGATAGCTCAGTGGTTAAGGTCTCTGGCTGCACAGCCAGAGGTGGCGAGTTCGGTTCTCCACAGGGCGTCCTGTGAGTAGAGCTAGTCTGAGTGGCCTTGGGCCAGCGGCACTCAGTCCCAGAAAGTCCACACAGGAATAATATCTTATCTGGAAATCCCTGAAAAAGATGGCCATAAGTTGGAATAGACTCAAGGGTGCATCATTATGATACACCTCCATGATTTAGGCATCTGGCTGTGGGGCCAGAAGGTTGGGGGGTTCGATTCCCAGCTGGGTGCCTCTTGGGAGAAGAGCCAGCCTGGGTGGCCTTGGGCAACCTGCTCGGTCCCAGGGTGACCCCAGAAGAAGGGAATGATAAACCATTTCTAAGTATTCTCTACCTAGAAAACTCTGGAAAGGGTTGCCCTAAGTTGGAATTGACTTGATGAACAGCAATTATTATAGTAATTCAACAACAGAAACGGATTCCAGGTGTTTGGCATGTTTCAAGAGCACCCACGCTCCAATCAAGCGCACATGGAAAGCTTCGGATCAGGAAGCTCAACGAATGCACAACCCCAACACCGAGGTCTTTCTCCCCCCCACCCCCAAAAAAGACACCCTCTGCGTGTTCTGGTCCACAATGGAAGCTGCATTCCCATGCCTTATAAGCCATTTCAGGAAACGAGAACCACACTGTTTGCAAAGTATTGTTAACATCGTAAGTCTTCTGAGACAGCCAAAGGAAGAAATTGGAGGAGGAGGAGAGCCGAGTGACGGGAACCGGGCCGGTTTTGTTCCCAAAGACAGACGGAGCCCTCGGACCGGCTCAGAGGGCCACGTCCCGAGGATCCAGGAGGGAGAAGGCGCCGTTCCTGCGGTAAAAGCTGTCGATGCGGCATTTTGGCACAGGAGCCACATGGAGGTTGGCCATCTTCCCTGGAGGAGGGGGAGAGACAAAAAAAAGGTGGGAGGGTTCAAGATGCAGGAGCCGTGTTAGGAAGCATGCCTGATCATCACCTTAAAGGCCTCCTCCAACTTTGTGGTTCTATGATTTTATGTATATGTAAGGATTAAGAAGTTTTTCCTGATATTCAACCGAAATCTGGCTTCCTGTCACTTGAGCCCATGGCTGCATGTCCTGCACTCGGGGATGATTGAGAACAGATCCTGCCCCTTCCTTGTAAGAATACCTTTCAAGTATTCAAAAAATGCTCTCCTCTCTCCCCTCAGCCTTCTTTTCACTAGGCTAAACAGGCCCAATTCCTTCAGTCTTCTTAGGGCTTGGTTTCCATTCCCCCCTGATCCTCCTTGTCACCTTGCTCTGCTGAACGTGTTCCAATTTGTCAGCATCCTTCTTGAAGTGTGGTGTCCAGAACTGGACACAGGACTCAAGATGAGGCCCAACCAGTGCCAAATAAGAGGGGGACTAGTACCTCACAGAATTTGGAGACTCTGCTTCTGTTAATGCGGTCTAAAATCGCATTGGCCTTTTTTTGTAGCCACCTCACACTGTTGGCTCATATTCAGCTTGTGATTTATGTCAATCCCAAGATTCTTCCTGCTCGTAGTATTGCTGAGCCAGGTATTCCCCCCATCTTATACAGTAATTGTGTGTTTGGTTTCTTTTTCCAAGGTGCAGGACTTTGCACTGATCCCTACTAAATCTCCTCCTGCTGTTTTCTGTCCCGTGCTCCATCCTATACAGATCATTATGGCAAGAGCTTGACTTTTGAAGGCATTTGTTTTTTAGAACTGTGCAGTGACCGTGCCACAGACTACCAACACCGGCCAAAATATTGATGGGATGTTAACGCGCGTGCAAGAGGAATCATGCAAGGTACTGCAGCTAATTGTGGCTCAACGATGAGGTGCCTTGCACATCTTTGAGCCCTCCTGCACGCGGGTAAAATCTTGGCCCATTTTGTCCACTGTCCACCTAGTTCTGTGTAGCTATGAAAACCAACAGAATGCTAGCGAACTAAAGTGCCGCCCCTGGGAGTTGCTCACAAGGAGACCCAGAGGGGGCACCATCAACAAGGGTGGGTTCCCCTAACCCTGCGCCCCCCCCCGCTCACCCATCTGCCAGCCGTAGTTGAAGTTGGTGGTCAAGGGGAAGGTGTATTTGTCTTCGGGATTGACGAGGAGGCGGGTCTTGAGATACCGTCGGCGCCCTTCGTCCTCATGGGAGATGCCCTGGTACAAGAGGGCGCGCACCTCCCGGGCCACGGGCCGCATCTCGGCCTCCAGGATCATGGCGTCGAGGCCGGTCAGGTCTCGTTCCCGGGCGGGCTGGGCAGGGGTCCGGAGTGGAGGAGGAGAGCGGGGCTTCTCGGGCGGAGGAGCCTTGACCGAGGGCAGCCGGAGGGTGTTGTCGCCCACCTTCTTGCGCCGCTCCCGCTGGCTCTCCTGCTTGGCCTTGACGAGGGCCCCGTATTTCTGGTGCCAGCGGTAGCGCAGCATGAGCTCCTTCAGGTACTCCTCCTTCCAGAAGTTCTGGTGGAGCGTGTCCATGTTCAAGTGACGGGCCATGGCTGGGAAGAGACAGGCGCCCACGACGCGACAAATCTGGCTGGCACCTTCTCGAACTCTGGCCCTTTGGCCCTGACCAGCTCACAGAGCCACCCGAAGAACCGAGCGGGCTAGCCAGCCATCGCCGGCGCTTGCCCTCACTGAAGCCCTCTGGTAGCCGAGAGACCGGGGACAGCCGCCGCATCACCGCTGTTACAATCAACCTCTTGTGAGCTCACGGGCCCACCTCCCTCCAGCAGGAATCCCTGGGGTGACCTGGCCTCCTGGAAGACACGGCACAGCCACGAGATGCCCAAAGGTCTGAATAAAGGGCTGGCCCTCTGTGGATGCTGGAAAACATGGATTATTAGAGCAAACGCTATTACAGAGTTTGGTCTCCGGCTTCCTCTGGTGTCCAGTTCTGGTAACTTTGTCGCACGGGCCCACCTCCCTCCAGCAGGAATCCCTGGGGTGACCTGGCCTCCTGGAAGACACGGCACAGCCACGAGATGCCCAAAGGTCTGAATAAAGGGCTGGCCCTCTGTGGATGCTGGAAAACATGGATTATTAGAGCAAACACTATTACAGAGTTTGGTCTCCGGCTTCCTCTGGTGGCCAGTTCTGGTAACTTTGTCATTAGCAATCTATATTTCCAGGATATTTCCTTTTAATATTTTCAGACCATGGATAAGTGAATCGGCAGAGTTTTCTCCGTTGCAGTGATCATAGATCCTGGGATTGGAAGCTTGCCGTCTGAGCTGCTTCTCTCCTACAATCCTCCAGGCGAGCGTGGTCTCCTTTCAGCGCCTCTACACCTGTGACTTTGCTCCGCATTGCCTGCCCGCCCGCCCCTTTTCCTCTCCTATCCCACCCTTCTTCCTGTCCCGTGCCGCTGGCTTCCACCTTTCCTCTCTCTGGCTCCCCACCTCCACCCCCTTTTCATCATCCTTTTACGGGGTTAGGCAGAACCCGAGGCAGGACGGCAGGGATGCTGAGCGCAGACAGAGGCCAGGATCCTCTCAGCAATCGCAGAACAAGCAATACAAATACCCACTTGTGCAAATCAGCACGAGACGACAAGCACGATCACAACGGTCCCTTGCACACGTGGACAAATAGGATCCGGGCCAGTGGGAGGCAAGGATATTTGGGGGCCACCGCTGGCACAACTGGCACTCATCTGGGACCAAAAGAGGGGGTGGACACAAAACCTTCCAGGCAGAGGAGCCCTAAATCTGAAACTAAGTATTAGCGGGTACCCTCCTGGATTCCGCTGAGCTCCTTCCCAGGCTTGGCCAACTTCCCCTCATTCCCCCCCTTTTTTTTCATGGAAAGAACGACCCAGAATCCCAGTTAGACATAAACTCTGCTTCTTGGCAAGACACAGAGAAGGGAAAATGGCTAAGCAGGCAATGACTCCGGTCTTGCCATTAAGAGAACTCTCTTCCATCACATTTATTGCTTGATTGAAAATATTTTTTTTAAAGCAAAGCATGCTGCTTATCTACCGCCCCATAGTGCTTCAAGCACTCTCTGGGCAGTTTACAAGTTAATTATGCAGGTTACACATTGCCCCCCACCCCCCAGCAAGCTGGGTACTCATTTTACCGACCTCGGAAGGATGGAAGGCTGAGTCAACCTTGAGCCGGCTACCTGGGATTTGAACCCCAGGTCGTGAGCACAGTTTTAGCTGCAGTACAGCGGTTTAACCACTGCGCCACGAGGCTCTTTACCCCACCTTTCTCCTCAAAAAGGACCCAAGGCGGCTCACATTAAAAAGCCAACCTAGAAAGCTAAAAACAGTAACCGTACAAATATTTTTTAAAAAAATTAAACAAGTATCCCGTTTCTCATCCCTTACACTTTGGGCCTTCGGGTACCAGACAAAAATGTTACCTCCTGCCAAAGCTTTTGGGGAAGAGGCTACCAGTCTTAGACTCTTCTCAAAGGATGGGACTTTACCAAATGTCCTTTCAAATGATGGCTATCATCTCCACTTGAGACACGTGTCATTTTTTGATGTGCCCACCTGGCAATGTCACTTCAGGTGCACATAAACTGTTATTTTAGTGGTGCTTTGAATGTGAACGGTTAGCTACCCTGGCCTCTCAGAAGAAAGGTGGGATATAAGTTAATAAGGACAACAATGCCTCATTCTTCTTACAGGGGGCTGGTACTGTGGTTCTTTGATTCAAACCTCCCTCCAGGGAGCTCAAAGATAGGGTTCCCCTTCGCATCGCTGAATCCCCACAAGGTAGAGCAGGCAGAGAGTGGAGAAGCCAAGGTCAGCCGGTGAGTTTCACCCACAAGTGGGGGACTGGAATCCACACCTCCCCAGTCCTGCACAAACACGGACGAGAGGTCCCCCCTATTTAAGGCTGGAAGAGCGATTGTCTCTCACACACAGAAACCCCACTAAGAAATCTTCAAGTCCTCAGCCATTAATTGCCAGGGGCCGACGAGTACCATTACAAAGAAGAAACGAGAGAAAGGGCTGAAAGGGTTCTTTTTAATTTGCACTGAACTCCACTACAGCAAAACGTCTGCAAATACGGTTGTTTCTATTCGAGATAATGTTACATGAGATTCCAGACTGCCTGCATCAAGAGAAAGCCAAGGCTGAGATAATAAATAATTCACTGACAATCACTATCTAATGTGGGTATTTTATTACAGAGTGGAGATCAGAACAGACAGTATATTTTTTCAGCGTTCCCCCCCCTTTAAAATTCCAGTTTTAAAGAATGCTTTAAAGCAAGCGAAACTGAGCTAACCATCTCAAGTAAGGGAGGTATATGGAGAAGGCAAGAGAAATTCCTTTCTGTGTTACATTTCCCAGGTTGCTTCAGCAAACACAAAGGGCAATTCCATGAGACTGGTTCTACGCAATCCCATCTGATCAAACAGGGTCATTCAGAGGGAACTGGAGCATATCAACAATTAGCTACAATTGCAGATCACATGTCTGGCCCTGGGCAAAAATAATAATAATACATGAGCCACTTAATAAAGATGGGCTTCAGGTGTGTAAGAGGAAGCCGTGGATGGGAATGAGCATCCGAGCAAGACATGGAGTGGTTCCTGGGGCCGGGGAGAGCCCCCCAGGTTGTGGAGGAGAGGCTCAGCTATGCTGTGGGCTTAGTGCTTCTCCAGCAGAGAAAAGCTGAGGGCAAAAGGAACTGCCAGCTCCCTGGATCTCCTGGGCTCCCGTGGGGAGTGCAAACAGCCCCCCCCCACCCCACAGTGAGCCACTGCAAACAGGGGAAAGGTAGGAGACACAAGGCGAAACAAAGCCAAGACTGGAAAAACCCTAGAGGCTGGTGTTGCCCACCCCCCGGTCTTACAGGGCAGCGAGAAGACAACAAGGAGGGTGGAGATGTTTCTGCAGCAAATACATCCACACAAGACAGGGAGAAAAAGCTCTTTATGGAGCCAGTGGGGTCGAGCAGGAGCTGATGCTGCTGGTGGGGGCAACGAGGAAGGAGACCGCCTGTCCTTTCCCCCAACTCTCTCCTCCACAACTATCGCAAGTCCTCGGCTGTGAACATGCCCTTGGCCCGGCGCAAGATGGAGTCCTTGGAGGCATCGTACGGGTGCTCCTTCGAGGGGATCTCCAGCACAGCCGGGATGGACTTGGTGTGCGCGTCGATGGCGTGCCGGATCATCTCGGCGATGAACTGGTTGATGAGGATGATGCCAATGTCGTCACGGGACAGGAAACCCCTGAGGACAAAGAACAGGTCAGAGCTAACAGCAGCTAGAACAATTGCGTGCCATCAAGCCGATCCTGACTTACAGGAAACCTTTCCAAGCTCTTCTGGACTAGGGAATATTCAGAAGCAGTTCACCTTTCCCTCCTCCTGGGAGCAGCCTGAGAATAGCCATTTCCACGGGGCCCTGGTCCCCCCATCCGGCCAACCAGCCTCGAAGACCAGTGGCCACATGAGAAGTCAGGGCGCAAGCAACTCAAAATAGCAAGAAATCCGCAGCCTGGGTTGCGCACCGAATAAAGGATACCACCTTGAAAGTCTGCGCAGGCCTCCGCTGCAAGCCAATAGGAGGGGCTGGGATCCATTGGGAAAGAGAGGGCCTCCTCCCGAGCAGAACCAAGCCCTCCTCTCCTAAGGGAAGACCCTGCCAATGTGAGTAAAGTGTGGGGCCCAGACACCTGTGCCCACCCGTGTTTCACACCCCATCTTGGGGCATGCGGCCACAGGCGACTCAACCTCCACATCGTAGGCCAGCCATTCTTTTGGCAATCCAATTATTACAGTATAGACGCCCAATTCTCAAAAAGCCTGATCCTGGTTTATGTCTGTTGGCGCTTCCAGGAGCTGGTTGGTGTCTGAAGCACCCGGAGGGTCAAACTCACTCAACCAGAGTGGGGGAAAGGAGGTCCTCCAGATGATGGCACATTTCATGCTCTACCAGCTCCTGATGACAAATAAGGCCAACAGTAAGACATGGAGAAAGCAGCGTGTTTCCCACCCCAGAAGGAGGTATGGCTAAACCTACTTCTGATTTCTCGCTGTCAAGGCTGGGCTCAGTAAGCAATACCCTGAATCTCCTTCCTGATGGTAATAATTTAAAGAGCTGATGTCCCGGATGAGAGGAGTCTTTCAGTATGTTAGATATCTTCCTCTTACATCTGTTCTTATACAATTCTTCCAAAGAGGGGAGTGAACAGCCAATGATGTTTTGGGCCGTCTTAATCACCCTTTGAATTGCCTTTTTCTCTGCCACTGTGCAGCTCGTGAACCATACACAGAGACAGTAGGATAATATGCTCTCAATCGAACTCCGATAGAAGGTGATTAACAAACTCTCAGTCAATTGTTGCTTTCTAAGAATCCTTAGAAAATACAACCGTTGTTGTGCCTTCCTGATTAACGCCCAATATAGACGCCCAATTCTCAAAAAGCCTGATCCTGGTTTATGTCTGTTGGCACTTGCAGGAGCTGGCTGGTGTCTGAAGCACCCGGAGGGTCAAACCCACTCAACCAGAGTGGGGGAAAGGAGGCCCTTCAGATGATGGCACATTTCATGCTCTACCAGCTCCTGATGACAAATAAGCCCAACAGTAAGGCATGGAGAAAGCAGCGTGTTTCCCACCGGAGAAGAAGGTATGGATAAAACCACTTCTGATTTCTCGCTGTCAAGGCCGGGCTCAGTAAAAGAGGAATCCGGCTGGCTCCTGACCAAGGCCCCGGAAGGACCTTCTGGCGGAAGAGGAGACCTTATTCTCTCAAGAACGGCAACCGCTCTGCAAATCATGCCATGCCAGAGAAGCGTTGTGGTGAAAAGCTTCACCAAGGTCACCGTGACGGAAGGTCGGTCTTCACCAGATAAAGCAGGACAGGGAGACCAGGTGGAAGGACGTGAACAACCCAGCGTTGTTTGTGGGTAAACACAAGACGGGCTGAACCCGGTTCCCTTCGGAGAAGCCGAGAGACAACAAGCGGCAGGATGTCCTTGCTTCACAGGCCAAGGAGGTTCGTTCCGAGGGCAAAGAAAAGGGACCCTTTTCCTGACTCCAGACTTGGGATCTGGGCTGCGGGGGGGCAGAGGCATGTTCGATTCCTCCACGGCGCTTCTGTTTCCTCTCCTGTGACGATGATTCATAAATCACGGGAATGCCCAGCAAGGAAAGAAGGTGTTGGCAGCAAAAGGGGAAGCTCTCCCTTGGGGGGGTGGGGGGCACCCACAGGCCCAAGCCTCTCAAAGCACCCCATGGAGGGAGGAGGCTCGGTCCAAGCACCCCCACCCCACCTATTTGAGATTCCTTGGCTTCCCTCCAAAGCTTCCAGCAGGTCCTCCATTTTATGGACTGCAAGTCCCAGAATCCCCCAAGCCAGCTTTGGGCGGAGTGGATTTGGGTTCCAGCTGCTAGGTTTGGCCTCCAGCAGTCACAGGAGAAGGGGGATTTTTAAGGAGAATTCAGGGGTGGTGGTGGCAGAATAATTTAATTTTTGGACAACAACGCCCAGAAGCCCCCAGCCAGCAAAGCTGGCTGGGGGATTCTGGGAGTTGTCGTCCAAAAATGGAGGAGCTGGAAGTGGGGGGGGACTCTGGTGCTTTCCCTCAGGTCTTCCATGAAATACAGAGGGAGGAATGGCTGCTGCTTCTTCCTCCTGAATCCCCACAAGTTCCACCAGCCCCCATTAACTGCTATGGAAACCCCCCCTTCACATGGAATGGGTTGGTCTCTCCTCCTCCCCCCCGTCACAGCCAATGGTCTCTTCCTCCTGCCCCCCCCGCCGCCGCTATTTCCCTCCCTTCCATCCATCCATCGACTCCCCCCCGCGTCGTCCTCCCAGAATGGTCGCGTCCCCCTTCTTCAATCCCCCTCCCCATTCCTCCCAGCCTAGTGGGCTCTCCCTCGCTGTTGCCGCGGCAACGGCTGTTCCGACGGCTTTTCTCTCCCCCCCGCCCCGCCAAACCGCCGTTCCCAGGTCATCGCCCCCTCCCTCCTTCCCTCCCTCCCTCACCGGAAAGCCTCCTCGATCTCGGCCAAGGCCGTCTCCTTCTCCACCACCAGGAAGTTCGGGCGCCGGTGCTTGTCCAGCTCCCCGACCCCGCCCAGGAGGAACCCGGTCACCGTGTCTTCGTCCCCGAGGACGGCGATCAGCTTCCCCCGGCCGGCCATAGCTCCGCGGGACACAAGCGCGGGCAGACGAAACGCACAAACGCTAATAATGACCCCAAGGCGTCCCCGTAGCCAGCTCTTATAGGAAGGCGCAGGCGCATAAGCCGGAGGGGGGCGTGCCTACGGGCTACGCATGCGTGTCCCTAAGGCAGCCGCCAGCCCGTGATCTTCTCCGCAGAGATACGAAAATAGAGGTGTGAAACAATTGACTTCCGGGTTTACTCGGCCCCCCGGTCTGGTATGCGCATGCGGGGCCCTGCTCCCTGGCAGAGGACGGAACCCTGCAAGCTTGTGATGCGATTTGAAACTACAGTATTCTAAACCGCATCAGGGCAGCTAGATAATTATGTGTGTGCTGAGACTTATAATGACCCTAATGGGGCTTTAGCGGCAAGTGAGATACTTTACGGACTAGTTTTATCAGTTCCACTGGTTCTGCCCCCCCCCCGTCAATTCCCAGGGCTGAGCAGGGATTCGAACCCAGGTCTCGGAGTCCTGGTCCGGCACTCTGTCCAATGCGCCACACTGGGAATCTAGATAAGCAGCAACATATAAATATAATAACTATAAATAATAATAATATAGTTGGAGAGTGAAGTGAAAGCTGCTCAGAAAGCACTAGGAAGAAATAAATCACCAAGGGTAGATGGAATACCAATAGAGTGGTGTGGCAGTTTTTTTTTAATGGGGAGCTTTGAATGTGTCTTTGGTGGAGCATTCGTTCACCCTTTTTATGTGCCAATTGTTTGATCCTTGTTAGTTATTTTTGTACTCACTGCTTTAGCTTTGAAGACAGTCTTTTTCTGGTATAAGCTGCCATGGGTCTTTTTTAAGGAGAATGGCAGGGTAAAAATATTTTAAATAAAATATCAGGAGTGTGATTTGGAACAATGAGAAAGTTAACATCAGCAGCTCGTTCCTACTGATCTCAGAAGGTGGGGGGGAAAGCCTGTTTCATCCATCCTCTGGAAAGAAAGGAAGCTCTGATCCATCCATTTTGGCCCCCAGAGAAAAACAATTCCAGCATCTGGCCCAGGGTAGAGCCTGGATAAAGGCAGCCTCAGGAGCAAAAGGATTTTTTTTTTAATTATTAAATTTTTTATTAAACATTCTTATTTTTTTTTAAACTTATACCAGAAAAAGACTGGTGTTGTTTTTTTTTTTTAAACAAAAATAGTTTTTGAGCTCTCCAGGTCTCCTCGGCTGATGAGGTGTTTTTAAAAATAGGAGGGTGGTGAGGGCAAAGAACGTCTGCCTGGATAGGGAAGCCAAGGTGTCGTAGAAGGAAACAAGGACTTGAATGTGTGTGTGTGTGTCCCCTTTTTTTGGAACTGCAACTCCTAGAATCCCCTTGCCAGGCATGGGAATTGTAGTCCAAAAAGAGAGAGAAAGAAAACAGGGAAAGGAAGAAAGGGACATTTCCATGCTCTGGAATGCATGCTTAACAGCCCACTAGGAAGGGTTTGGAAATGTTACTTTTTTGGAATGACTCTTAGTGCTTTTAAGATCCTTGAAAGGCTGGCCTAGATCTGTTCTCGATCATCCCAGCGTGCAGGACACACAACAATGGGCTCAAGTTAAAGGAAGCCAGATTTCAGTTGAATATCAAGAAAAACTTCCTGACTGTTAGAGCAGTACAACAAAGGGAATCAATGACCTTAAAGGGGAGGTGATGAGCGTTCCAACTCTGGAGGCATTGGAAGGTAAATGGGACCACCAATGATCAGATCTGCTTTGATTTGGGATTCCTGCCTTGAGCAGGGGGTTGGACTGGATGGCCTTACAGACCCCTTCCAGCTCCGTGATTCTATGATCACAGTCCCAACCCCCAGCCAGCCTGGCTGATGGGAGATGTAGTCCAAGACAATAACGTCTCTAAGCTCAGCCCCTGATAGTCTGCCCTGGACCAAACCTTCTGGGCTGAGATGGAATGCCTTCGCCTGGGGTGAGCCGAGCAGCGGGTGGCACGGTGGTGCAAGGACACCGTCGCAGGCTTCCTGAATCCCTTTCTGTTCCTCTGGCCACGACGCTGTGCTGAGCGTGCAACTCTGGGGGCCGCCAGCAGCACTTTCAGGAAGCCCCCCCTCCCCCCGGTTCTACCATTGCTTTTCAAGAGGGGCTCAGCTGACCTTCTGTCCCTTGTTCTCGACCAAAAGCTTTGTACTCAGGAGGGCCATTTGGCTCAATGGCTGAAGAACAAGGGTGGCCAAAACGTGGGACCGGAACGAAAGGCAGCTGCCTGGGGCTGCCGCCGTGTCATCTCCCGACTCCCTCCGACTCCTCCTGTCCCACCAAAAAATAATTCTGTCCAGCCAGAAGAAGAAATGAGCCCGAAATTCTTCTGTTCATCCAGATACTACAGACCAGCTATGCTCAACCTTTTTGGGGGGGGTTAGGGGGGGATGGTTCTTTGAAGGAGATCTTGCTCAGCTGTGTGCAAATAAGATTAACTGTGCAAACGGGTGGCTCTGTGGCCCCCTTCAGGTGTGCCAGCGGACACTCCTCCCCCCCCCAGGGGAGGATCTGGCCCCCGTGGAGGGCGGCTGCAATAGACCTCCGGTTCTCAGAAAGCCCAATCCTGGTTTATGCCCGTTGGAGCGTCCGGGAGTCGGTCTCTGCAGCACCTGGATGGCCCCATGGAGGGGGAGGAAGTGGAGCCCTCCAGAGAAGGGTAGATTTTTTATCTCAGCAACCGACTGCCTAAAGGGGGTTCCTAACAACAGAGGAGCTGCTGTTGTTGTGTCAGTTTGTCGGCTTTTTAATATTGTGAGCTGCCTTCGGTCCTCTCGAGGAGGATATTCCAAAGCATTCCTTCAGCCATACTCTGGGCCTGGGGTCAGCAGGCACCTTTCGGCAGAGAGATCCAGGGCGAGAGCAATGGATCTCTCTGCCGATGTTTCTTGATTTCCTTCGAGAGGTGGCCGTGAGCTGAGAAGTTCCTGCCAAGCGGCCCGAAGGAGCCCCCCCCCCGAGACCTTTTTGTAATTCTTAAGTCCCTGTCGATCCCAGCCTGTTTCGGATAGTCTTCCTCTGATGGTGGGGAAAAGTGGTTCTAAAGGCGTGGTTCCCTATGCTTTTTTATTTATCATTATTTATGTGTTCTCCTTGTTCCTAAGGTCGCTCCCCTGCTAACGGGACTGCTCCCTGCGTTACTTTCGCTCACTTTCTGTGGTTTTATTTTTAGGTGCTGCAACTCCTGCTCTCGGTGCAGGGGAAGAGAAAGGCAGGGCGCCTGTTTGTAGAGAAATGGACGAAGGACGGATCCCAGCTCTTGGTTGCTGTCCGTAGTACCTTCTTTGCAGGCCTTGGGCAGCACATGCAAAAAAGCTGCACCCGGGTCCCCGTCAAAGTGAAAGACACCCCGGCCCGGCCGGTGCTTCAGATGCTCAGAAGATGCGATGCTGATTATTCTGCAGCCTATCGAAAGTGGCTGCGTCAGATCTTGGAAGTGGGTCTGTTCAGAAGCCGTCCCCCACCGCCGCCCCATGGAACCCCCTGGAGGGCCACAGCTTCCTCGACCCTGCCTTTGAGGTTTCCCCTCCGTGGTCACCACAGAAAAGGTGCCTGAGAACGTCCTCCCGGAATAACCGCAAAGAACGAGCCGTGACGCCACGCTTCCAAAGCAAGTCACCTTTATTGCGGGCGAGCAGGTGAATTCCAACCCCACCGCCGTCTGCAAGGAGAGGCGCCCTTCCAGCCCCTCGGACACACGCAACCACAAACACGGGGCTAAAAAACGGCCCCTCCCCGGAACGGGCGTCCAGTTGGGAGAATCCCCCCCTCCCTGCACGGGCCACAATGCCTAGCCTCCCCCCCCACCAGAATATATATTTTTAAAATCTTTTTTTTTTCCTTTCTTCCTCTTTCCTTCTTTTCTAAAAAAAAACAGAAAAACAAAACTCTTTGGTTTGAGCTGTGCCCTCGTTCACCGAGGCAGCCCACCAGTTTGGGCGGGGGGCAGGGGCATAATGCAAAACACTCAAAAGGGCTCTGTGTGTGTGTGTGTGTTTGCCTTTTGCCCTGTTTTAAAACCCTAAAGCGAAGGACTCAGGCGATCAGAAAATTCGCCTGCAAAGGCCCCAAGGCCATCACAACGCGCAAAGGGGCTCGAGCAGCAGAACCGGCCGGGAAACCCCCCACTCATCCACCCACCCACCAGATCCTGGGCTCAACCTTTGTCCACTAGCAACAATGGCCTCAGACATATTTTTGCCCATCAATCTACACGGCTCTTCCCTCTGTAGCGTCCCGATGGGTCCTACCGCTGTGAGGAGGGGTGGGTGGCACAGGGGGACACCTGGTTCCCCCCTTGACCTTGCCCTTAACCCCAGTCTCTTCTGCCCATCCATCCTGGCGTCTCCTCTCCGCTCCCTTCTCTTCGCGCTCCTTCGCCCTCAACATTTCCTCCCCTGCTTCCCAAGCCACAAGAATTACGTCTTGCAAGGATGGTGGCGAGAGGCGGGAGTGCTTATCAGTGCCACCGCCACCACCTGCACGCCACCTCCCAGCGTGGAACCACCGAGCACAGCCTCCCCCCCCCCAGTGGTCCTCCTGCCACGGAGTCCTTTTCCTGCCACCTCGCTTCTTCTCACATTGACTTCGTTCCCCCTTCTTCTTTGTCCCTCTTGCTCCCGGTGCCCGCTCTGCTGGCGTGTGTGTGTGTGTGTGTGTGCTCGCCCTTTTAAGCTCACAACGATGCCCACCCACTGCCCTTTCCCCATCCCGGCCCCTCTTCAGCTGGGGCCACCCCCCCAAAAAAAAATCAGTGAAACGTCAAGAGTCCAAACAGCTCTCCCCCCTCCCCATTTCCCCAATTGTCCTCCTGGCCTCGGCCCCGCCCCGAGGGGCATTGTGGGTGTTTGGCAGTGCCAGTCCGTGTGTCTTGGAGGCGCAGGGCGGGACCAAGGGGATCGGGCCCCTTAGGGCACATTGACTTGGTAGGGGCTGCCGGGCACGCCCTCGTCCCCCCACTTGACGATGAGGATGTAATCCCCTTTCTCCTTGACGGTGTAGGTGACGTTGTAGACCCGGTTGCCCATGTGCTTGACGTAAACCTCGTCGCAGGGGGTCTTCGGGCCGTGGACGCCCACCATGAGCATGTTGGTGCCTGCCGAGGAGAAAAGGGAGAGGGGAGATCAAGAGCGGGAAAAAAACCCTTTCCACCCGAGGGCGGAATCCAGTCTCATCGAAGCCCTTGGTGGAGGAGGGCGCGCGGTCCAGTGGCAGGCGGGGCCACTGGCAAATGGCCGGGGTCTCCAAACGCTAGCATATAAAGAATAGCATGGTTTCACCTCCTGTTAGGAACTTAACCCTACTGTTACAGATGTTAAATCTTGGGCCATAGAAAAACCTAGATACAACCGGGGGCACGATTTTTGGAGAGGATCGGAAGATAAACACTTTCCCAAGTGGCTTATCACGGAGGTGATCCTCATAGATTTTCAGCCTGGATAAAGTTCTCCATGTTATAATCACTGTACTGTCTATAAGAAATGCCAGCACGATCGCTGTATACCCTACAGCTGCGGTTCCCAGCCGTGGGCCCCCAGATGTTCTTGGACTGCAACTCCCAGAAGCCTTTCACCACGAGCCGGGCTGGCCAGGATTTCTGGAAGTGGAAGTCCAAGAACATCTGGGGGACCCAAGGCTGGGAACCACTGCCGTGTTGCCTTCAGTGGCGTTCTTCCCCCCCAAAAAAGGGGGGACCCAAGGCTGGGAACCACTGCCCTGTCGCCTTCAACGGCATTCTTCCCAAACAAAAGGATGAAATACATCCATCGGAGTAATTTCTTCAGTATGGGGCAGATCAGCAGACGCTTGGATTCCCTATAATTCATGGTCTTCTTCAGAACGGCTGCCTTTTCACCCTGTTCTCAAGATAATAAGGTTTATTCAGAGGCATAGCTCAGTAGACAGATGCTGAATTATGGAAGCAAAATGGAGCTGCCCCACTGGCATCTCTCTCTGCCCTGGCATCTCTTCCCTGGTTGCCCACTGCCAGTGCTGCCCCCCCCCGTAAATTGCCGAGATGCCCACCTGCTTTGCTGCAGTCCACCGTGAAGGTGTTCTTCTGGCCCACAAAGGCCTTGGTTAGCCCAGGCCCCCGGGCCACCACCTTGCTGGCATCAGAGGAGAACTTGGGCATGGTGCTGTAGCTGCCCCCCACCGAGGAGGAGGAGGAAGAGGAGGCCTTGGTGACGGTCTCGACCAGCACGGTGGAGGTCTCGTGGAGGCTGTGTCCGCCCGAGAGGCGGGGACCTGGGAGGGGAGGGAGGCAAGAAGGAACGTCACTGCCAGCTTCCTTCCCCCCACCCACACATTTTTTAAAAAAGGATGAGTGCTTTGCAGCCCCCCACCCCACCCCATCTGCTTTTTTCATTGTCCGGAAGATGTCTGTGATGCCCAAGAGCTAGTTACCCTGGTTGAAGAAGCCAGAATCCTAGCAGAAGCTTCCAAGGGCAAAAGCGAAATCACACACGTTGCGGAAGCACATTGCTGCTCACAAAGAAGTTGCTGCTTGCATTCCTGGTCACGTGCCCAGTCGTGCAATAGGCATGTGGGCAGGATTGCAACGGGCATGTCCTTGATTAGTAACTAGGACTCAATTTCACATAAATTGCCACCAGGATTCTCAACAATATATATGTGTTGGTTTGAGTACAGCTGGGCTACGTTGGTGGCTCGGGGGGGGGGATTAATTCACTCCCAGGAACCTGTTGCGTGCCACGCCCTTCCCCCTAAAAGAGATTTTCCCCTGCATTACAGTAGGACCCCCCCCCATAGTCATGGGGGATCCGTTCCAAGGGCCCCCCCCCGTGGATGCTAAATAATGTGGATTTTAGCAAACATTATACCTCTCATGGTTTCTGTCTCCCTCTAGTGGCCTGTTCTGGGAACCTCACCATTAAAAACATATTTGGGGGATTTTTCTCTTAATATTTTCAATATTTTCAGACTGCGGCTAAGTGAACCCGTGCATATTGACCCTGCAGATAAGGGAGGGGGTTTCCTACTATATTTTCAAAACCAGGTTTGAGCTGAAGTTCATTTCCAGTTGCAGCCCCCCAACTTCCAGTTGAGAAGTACCCCAACCTCCATAGAAAAGCCAGGCCCCACATTTTGTTTCAAGGATTCCTGCTGCTCCTGAATGTTTCCAAGACTGGCAGTTCTTGTTTTGACACCCCCCCAATTAAATTTTCAGTAGGCGTTTGAGAGTGCGAACACTCAATGGGAAGCCATGCGGGGGCTCGCAGGGCTGTGTTCTCCCCACATCCGAGCGTAAGCCAAGGCCCACAGAGTTATGCCACTCCCAAGGGTAACTTTGGGGCCAGGAAAGGTCTCTCGACTCAGCTGGCCATCATCCTCTCGCCACCTGACGGATTAAGAACTGGAGACTTCCCTCGGAGGCGTCACCCACCCAGAGGTCCTCTTATCCGGGGGGGGGCTCGGTCCCCGGGCTCTCGGGAGCTGCCCTCCCTGCTCTGAGCCCCTGAACTTCTCCCCGTTGAATCCGGGGCTCCCTTTTCCTCTCCTCCCGCCCGGGGCCCACCGGTCTCCCTACCTGTGACTTTTGCCTTGAAGGGGCTGCCGACCACATGCTGGGGGCCTCCGTACTTGATGGAGATGAGGTAGTTTCCTGGCGCCATGGGCATGTAAGTGACTTTGTGGCCCTCCGGGCATTCCTGGCAGTCCATTTGCACCTTGGAGGGCCCGTCGATGGTGACGGAAAGGGCGCCGGATCCCGCGTTCCGGGTCTTCACAACAAACTCGGAGGAGACACCTACGGGAAAAGAAGGGGTCTCGCACTCAGGACCACAAGAGAACAAGGGGGAAGGCAAGAAAGCTGGGCAGCCAGGTCTCACTTGCCCCGAGTAGCCCCACACACACACACACACACACACACACACACACACATCCCTTGGCCTCTCTCCTCTCTTGGCTGTTTCTCTTCAGGCTGGTTGTTTTAAGAACTAAGACTCACTTTAAGAACCGGTGCCTAACTTTCCTCCTCCCTCCTCCACACACCTTCCTCTCATGTTGTGTCTCTGTACACCTTGCCAGCGGGAGTGTATTGACTATTGCTATTTTCTTGGTCTTTGATGGGAAAGTATGAAGAAGAAATCCCAGAAAGTATGAACAAGAAAGCCCCACTCTCAGGCAGAGGGGAAAAACATGGTCCGGCTCCAGCGATGGGGCCAAGCCGATAAGGCCCTGCAAGCGCCACGGCAAAGAATCCCCGTTGCCGCCCTGAGCCCTCCTGGGACCCAGAGGGAGCATCTGCAGCCCGGCAGGGCGAAGGCTTACCTGTGGTTCCCCCCTCGAGCCCTGGGCCGTAGGCCGTGACGAGCCCGGGGTCACCGGCCTGGCTCTGCTCGCCCACTCGGATATTGAAGGGGCTGCCAGGGACGTGTCGGCCGTTGAACCGGACGTCGATGGAGTGGACGCCGTTCTCGTGAGGGATGAAGCGGATGGCGTATTTGTCTGTGGAGGCAAAAGCAGGATGGTCATGCAGCCTGTGCAGACGCCAGAGGCTAAGCTGACCTCAGCTGGGGGGGGGGGCAGCCAGAGGCTGTGCGGGGTTCCCCCTTTGGTGTCCCCTAGCCAGAGGCTCTGCGGGGTTCCCCCTTTGGTGTCCCCTGGAACTCATCTCTAATACAGCAGGACCCCTGCTGCCATGGGAATGGGTATCTCCAGTTTCACTTCTCCACAGTCTCGAAATATTAAAAATATTTAAAGAAAATACTAGAAATGCTGTATTTTTCACCATGTATTTACCAGAACCAGCCACTAGAGGGAGAGAGACCTTATTATATATCCTTCCTGTTGAAGAATACACAGCATGGTCTCAGGCTCCCTCTAGTGGCCAATTCTGGAAACACGGGGAAATTACTTGGGGGGTGTGAATATTTTTCTTTTACCATGCTACCTTGTTTCCCCAAAAATAAGACCTAACCTGAAAATAAGCCATAGTAGGATTTTTCAGGATGCTTATCACATAAGCCCTACCCCAAAAATAAGCCCCAGTGAAGTGAAACCCCCCGCCCTCCACCCTTGTGCAGCAACCAGAAGAAGAGGACAGGGTTGTCTTTTAATAAATGCAGATTGTTGTACATGAAAAAAAATTAATAAAACATTCCCTGAAAATAAGCCCTAATACATATTTTGGAGCAAAAATTAATGTAAGACCCTGTCTTATTTTCAGGGAAACACGGTAAGTATTATTCGAGGTTTTCTGCATATGGGGAGGGTTTTGGAACCAATCCCCATGGATACACAGCGCCCTCCTCGATTTCTCAGGATTCCTCCGCGGCTCTCGTGGATCTGACTTTACAAAAAAAGGAGATTTCCCCTAGATTTGAGGAAGGAAGAATGTCTTCTTCACAGTCAGGGCCACTCAAGAGTGGAAGAGAAGGCCTGGCGTGGCTTTTGAAAAGCAGCGAGTCCTCTGCCTGTCAGGGATGCTATATGTTTCCTGCATTCCCAGAGGGTGGACTAGATGACCTTTTAGGTTCTTTCCAGCTGCACAATTCAGCCCTTTTTAACTGAGGTCTCTCTATCCCTCCTCTTTCTAGAGGTGTTGAAATACAGGATGGAGACCGATCTCTGTTTGAAACCCACCCACCCCGGTCTGCGCCTTTCTGGTGCTGCCCCACGGGGGTTTGGGGTGGCTTCTTACTCTGCCCCCCTACCCACCCCGCCCCATCCAGACACTCACCACTGTCTAGTTCTGAGACGTAGCACTCCTCCACCACCCCGGAGGGCGTGTGGACTTTGGCGTCAATCACGCCTCGCGCCCCATTGAGCTGAACCGCAAAGGAAGCGGGTTGATTCACTTTCAGGCCGGTCTCCTGCAGGGACGCAGAAAGGAGAGATGGGAGTCAGACCTATGCGGGGTGGGGTGGGGGGGAGAGAGAGGCAAACCCACCTACAAAGACCCACTGGAGGTAGAAACCCTTTGCGACTCCAGGTCAGGATCCACCCCCCCCATGGCCCAGGAGTGTGCGGGAGCACAATCTAGACAGGAGCGGACGGTGATTGATTCACATATTGAGAATATGTCTACCCCAAAGCCGCGGCAAAACCTGCCTTTCCTCCATTCCCCAGAGTCTTCTGCAACCCCTCAGGACTCAGAAAGCACCCCGGGTGGTGGTGGTGGTACCCTGGCCAAGCCGTTCCCAGCCGGATTCCCCCCCCCCCGGCTTGGGCAAGAGAGGAAGGGCTGCCCCGCGCCCCTCGGATACTGGAGGTTGGAGGTATCCACCTTGGCCAGGAGCCGTAGGGTGCCCCCCTTTAACCGCCCTTGGTGTGTGACATTCCCTCCCTTCCCCTCCCCCCCCCGCAAGGGGCGCTTGACTGAGCAGGGGGGGGTACCTGAAGGCTGGTGACGGTCAGGCGGCGAGCATCGTCCGAATGGGAGGCCACGGGGACCACGAAGGGGCTGTCGGGGATGTGCTCGTCATTGAACTTGATGGACACTTCGTAGTCACCTGGGAAAGGGAAGAGGGGCTCCGGTCAAACTCCACAGGAAGGAAGACGCAGACGGAAACCCTTGACACAGCAAGACGTGACCTCCTCGGCAGAGCCCCAAACACCACCCGGGCTTTTCGTCACTTCCCGGCTTGATGACCGCAATGCCTTTTCCATGGGGCTGCCCTTGGAGAGCATGCTCAGAATCTCCCAGCGAGTCTGATGGTGGGGGTGCAGGAGACTGATCACATTCCCCAACCCCCCCATCCAAAAAAGCTTGAAGGGCCTCCCTCCACTCCAGAGGCCCCGATCCTGACAATCGTTTCCACCCTTGATAGCACAGTCTGTGCAAACCTGAATGACAAATGGCCACGAGTGAAGAATCCAACACAGAGGTATATAGATGTTGGCGTACGCCAGTGCCTTAACTTGCAGCCGTTCACTGCTAGATGGATGCCGACTGCTTTACGCCAGCATGGAAGCGTCAGAGGATTGGGGCCAGCATATTTCTGGGCGCAACCCTTGGGCCTTCACCCTTAAGTTGGGGTGCGGAATCTATGGCTTATTAATTTATTTAGAATATGTTAATTTAAAAAAATAGTTTCCCTTGTCCATCCATGCATGCTAGCATTAGAAATCTCTTTCCCAGGTTGTTTTTTCCCCCAAAGCGCCTAAAAACAGCCCTTGCGATGAAATGCCAAAATACAATAAAGCCGTTTGCAGCAACAGAAGACCAAAATAACTTTGCTTTATGCTCCGAACAGATACGGAAACCATATCCCATGAGGGTTCGCCTGGGTACTGTTCTATTTTTAAATGATCTCTTTTTAAATTATCGTACACTTTCTTCCTCCCCCCCCCCCCCCCTTGATCACTGCAGGATCTGCCTTCTAGAAATGGAAAGGTGGGGAATGGCCTCTTTTCCAAAGAACGAAAACAGAATCGACCAAGCAGCCCTTGGACCTTTTTCTCAAGGACGCGACCCTAACTCAAGCAGGAGTCCTCTTACCTGGTTCCTGGACAATGTAGGAGACGCCGCAGGATCCGTCCTTCCTGTCCTCAAAGGCGATCTCTGCCTTGCTGGGTCCCTCGACCGCGATGGAGAGACCGCCAGCTCCAGCTTCCCGGGTCCATATGCTGAACTCAGCTAGGAATGGAAAGGTGGGGAATGGCCTCTTTTCTAAAGAACGAAAACAGAATCCACCGAGCAGCCCTTGGGCCTTTTTCTCAAGGATGCAACCCTAAGTCAAGCAGGAGTCCTCTTACCTGGTTCCTGGACAATGTAGGAGACGCCGCAGGATCCGTCCTTCCTGTCCTCAAAGGCGATCTCCGCCTTGCTGGGTCCCTCAACCGCGATGGAGAGACCGCCAGCTCCAGCTTCCCGGGTCCATATGCTGAACTCAGCTGTAAAAGAAGGGGGAAAGAGGCTGTTCGTCCCTGGCCTGCCAAATGCTCCCCAAACGGGTCCAGCCCCTTCCTGGTCTGTGCAGGGCTGGGGTAAGGATTGCACCAGTCCCAGGGGGGCTCCTGGCCCCCCATTCTGCAGCCCCCTGCTTTGGGGGAAAGGGACCAGAGGAGCATCTTTCGGAAAACACAAGTTTCGCAGCAATACTCATACACAACTCAGCTCTGCGTGTCTCTTAACCCCCTTCCCTATTTTTCTAGCCCCTCTTCGGGAGAAGGCTTGTGATAAGGGGGGTGCCTTGGCCGGCTACCTGTTTCAAGGTGTGACTCCAAGCCCGGCTCTCACCTGGCACTCCGGCGACGCCTCTGTCCAGGCCGGGGCCTCCAGCCCGCACCTTGTGGGCGCCTCCTTCCCCCAGCGGCCCCACGGTAAACTGGAAGGGGCTGCCGGGCACATGCTGGCCGCGATATTTGACGTTGACCGTGTGGGGGCCCATCTCCTGTGGCACAAAGCGGACGGAGTAGGCGCTGTCTTCTCCCTCGATGATCTCCGCCTCGGACATCTTCCCCGACGGGCTGGTCACCTGGGCCGTCATGGCCTGTAAGCCGGCCTCACCTGAACAGGGGGAGGGAAAGCCCAGGTCAAGGGAGCGAAGAAGGGCCTCCAATTCTTGCCTGAATCCTACCATACCCTTCACTTCATGGCCTGTAAGCCGGCCTCACCTGAACCGGGGGAGGGAAAGCCCAGGTCAAGGCAGCGAAGAAGGCCATTTGGTCAAGAGCCCAGAAAAGACTCTGCGATCCTGAGGGGGCTCCGATTTCTACCCCTTGATACCCAAACCCTACCATACCCTTCACCAGTGAATGAATGCAACCCGGTGCTTTCGCCAAGTGGCGTGAGACACTCATGTTGTGTTCCATCAAACAGACAAAAAGCATGCTTCTAGTCCTCATGATCGTAGAGACCCGTTTCCAGGCAAATCGGCAGCATCGGATGGAGGTTTTAATGTCACCGAGGAGTCTTGGTGCCATTTGCAATAAGGGAGACGGACACGATCATGCAGCTCCCTCCAACATCTTTTGGTTTCAAACCAGATTCGGGTCTTCAGGTGCTTCCCCGACAATTCTGGGAGCTGTAGTGTGAAAACACAGCTTGGCACCTCCCTGCCTCAAACCTCTTCCATCCCTTCATCCCTTACTCCCTACGGATCAGTCTTTCTGGAAATGCCCACAAATTATACCAAAAGTTGCCTAGCAAACTTTTGCCATGAATTATTGGGGCATTCATTTTTCATTTTCCTGCACTGCTCACAAATCAACAGTTCATGCCTGAGGAAGGGATTTTTTCACCCATGAAAGCTTGCATACACTGTTTGACTTTTGAGCTGTCTTAAGGAAGGGGTTGCATTCTTCTACGTCCCAGTTATACAGAAAACTAAAGGGCAAAGGCTGGGATATTTAAATGAAGGAGAATTCCATGCAATTGAATAGCCATTCAGAGTATAGAGTATTTAGATGCACAAACACAAACATCTCTATAACATACTTTTTTTTTCCAAAACAGGCCATAGTGAAATTATTGTGCAGAAGATCTAAGGAGCTGCAAATCCATGCAGAGATACGTGTTCCGTGGGGTAAAAGGAATGATCTCCCCATTTCTCCCTGTACCCTCTTTCCCACGAACAGCTGAGGTCTAGATTCCTCTTCTTCCTGCTTTGAACTGCTCAGCTCTGCTTCCATTGCAGCATCTCCCTGTTATCTTAACGGCAATCAAACAAAGCTCTGTAGAGTGGAGGTTGCCAGAGGAAAGGAAAACTCAGCACATCCAGTTACTTAACTTGGTGATCAAGGTGACCTTTGCTAAACCTGAGTGTCCACCAGGCAGGCCTTCAAGAGAGCTTGGCTCTGAGTTAATCAGGAAACCAGAGATTGAGTAAATTGGCTTCTAATGAATCCCTTAAACTGTTCCTCTGCCAGCAAAGAGTGAGGGACCTCTTTAAACAGAAACCGGGACAAAAAATGTTGTTCATAAACCTATTCCTTTCTGAATTACATCACTTGGCCTCTGGACATCTCAGCCTTTGAAAGGGCTTGGAGTGACCAGAGTATGTCAGGAATCTACCCCTTCCTTATCCTGCAAAGGGCAGATTTAGCCCTTAGGGATCAGAGGTTCCTATGTCAGAGAAACCCAGACCTAGAATCCTAGCATCATGGCGTGGGAAGGGGGCCTCTGAGGTCACAGAGTCCAACCCCCTGCTCAAGACCGGAGTTGAGATCAAAGCAGATCTGACAAAGACGGTGGACCCATTTTCTCTTGAATGCTTCTGGCACTGGAGGATTCACCACCTCCCCCTGAGGTCACGGGTTCTGTTGTCGTATTGCTCTAACCGTTAGGGAGTTTTTCCTGATATTCAACTGAAATCTGGCTTCCTGTCACTGGAGCCCATTGCTGCATCTCCTGCACTCTGGAAGGATCGAGAAAGGATCCTGCCCCTCCCTTGTAAGAATACCTTTCAAGGATTTGAAAAGTGCAATCTTATCACCCCTCTGCCTTCTTTTCTCAAGGCTAAACAGGCTTTCAGCCTTTCCTCCTAAAGCTTGGTTTCCAGTCCCCCGATCATCACAGAATAGTGAAGTTGGAAGGGACCTAAAAGGCCATCCAGTCCAACCCCCTGCTCAGTCCTCATCCAAGCAGATCTCCCAGGGGGTTGTCTACGTTTCTGCCCTCCTGTGAACTTGGTCCAGTTTGTCGGCCTCTTTCTCGAAGCGTGGTGTCCAAAACAGAGGTGGCCCCGCCAGCGCTGAAGAGAGGGGGACCGGCACCTCACACACAGGCCCCTCGCCATGCAAACGCCCCCCGGCCGCGCTCTGTCCTCCCATGCGAATTCCATGCTCCCCACACTGTGCGCTCCCCGTGCTCCCTCCCTCCCGACGCCAAGGCACACCCACGGCACACCCGCCAAGGCCGACGCACCCTCCTGGGTCCGAGTGATGCTTCCAAAGGAGCCCAGGCTCTCGCGGCCCAAGAAGTCGCCGAAGACGTTGGCGAAGGGGTCGCCGCCCACTTGCGTGGACTCCTCCACCCGCACCTCTCGCTTGGTCTCGCCGCCGCGCGTCTTGCTGATCTCGGTCCGCTCGGTGCGCGTGTAGGTGTGGCTGCTGCGCGTAAAGGTGCGCGTCAGCCTCTCCTGGGCAGAGACCATCTGGAACCAGTTCCCTGCGCCAGCAGCAAATGGCGGCCGAGAGGGGGGGGTTGTGAAGCCAACCTGTAGGGCTTATTAACCCAACCTCGGCTGGAGGAGGAGGAGGAGGAGGAAAGGCAGGTTAGAAAAGGGGCCATGAGGAAGTCCAAGGGGTGGGGTGGGGTCCCTCTGAGGCAACCTGTTCCCGGGGGGAGGGAAGGGACATTTCCTTCCCCAGAGTGACAAATCCATACCAGTAACTACAGGCAGCCCTTGCTAAGGGGCTCCGCAGCCTTGCCAGTTTTAAAACAGCAAGTTGCCAGCCCTCATTGTGGCAGGTGGGTTGAGAGTCTAGGGAGTTCTCTGGTCTTCAGACTTGGCACTTTTCTGTCTTCCCAAATCTCCCACCGCCCTTCATATTCTTCGCGGTCCCTGGTCATCTCCCCCTCCCCAAACCTCCTTCCTCTTCCCTTTGAACCCCGCAGCTATGCCTAGTCGTGACACGGAACGCGATGCTCTGCGTTGTGCGGCCACTTGACAAGCTGAACAGCGTTTACTGATGGTTCAAACTTCCTATGGTATACTGAATCTACGGTATTCTAAATCTGGAGGGAACATCTATTTGGGACCCATTGGGTACCAAGGTCTACCTTGAGCAGCGTTACCCACCCTAGACATGGGCCGACGCGATTTTATGTTCTAAGAAAGCTCCCTTCGCGTCGAGTTTTAAACCTGTTTCGAAACGTTGGCCCTCCTGATCTGAAATGCCATCAGATCTTGGATTTGAGCAAAAAAAAGCCTTGTTTTCCACTCTAAGTCTGGACTTCGCCCAAGACAAACGACGTGAAAAGGAAAGGAAGGAGAGAAACGAGAAAAGAGGAGGGCGTGGAAAGGGGCCCCAAACGCGGCCGCGGGCCCTTACCTGGGATCTTGAGGTTGAGATCGCAGGTGCTGCCGATGGTCGCGATAGACGGGGCCTGGCGCCGGCGGGTGATGCTCTCCTTCATCCGCCCCTCGCCCGTCACCTTCACCGTGAAAGGGCTTCCTAAAAGGGGGGGGGGAGAATTCAAGCACACATTGCTGAGGACCACGCTTTGGACCTAAATGCTTTCCACACACCATCAGGACAGAGGGGTGGGGGAACCTCTTTTTCCTCAAGGGCCACAAGCCCATGACAGGCAAGGTGCCCCGCAAAGCCAGACTGGCACTTTCTCCCTTCCCTCTCTTCTGTTTTTCTGCCACCCTCTCCCCAAAGGTCTGGACGGCTCCCTCCATGCGCATTGCGATGGCTGCAAACTAGAACGATGATGATGACATGCCGTCAAGTCCATGGTGACTCATGGCGAACCTTTGCTGGGTTTTCCAGGTCGAGAAGACTCTGAAATGGTTTCCCCTTCCTTTCTCCTCTGCGGCCATCCCAGGACAGTCCTCCTTTGACCCAAAGCCCCCCAGGCTGGCTTCCCCCCCCCAGGAGGCACAGAAGGGAAACCGAAGTCCCAACCTCTGGGTCCACAGCCAGAGTCCTCACTCGCTGAGCGATTGCACCCTAAATCTAAGAAGCGTCACTTTTAAAAAATTTCAGCTCCTCGGCTTCCTGGCGTGATGCTCTTGCGGTCCAGGGGCATTCACGTTTCCAAGTTCTCCTCTTTCCAAGACGACGGGTCCCACTGGGTCGCCTCCAAAGAGGAATTTTAGAGGGCTTTTGTTGGTTGCAAACCAGAATCTTTTTGCTACCAAGGATGGGCAGACTGCATTCCCCCCCTCGCTCGAAAAAAGGCAGGCGTCAAAGGCCTCTTCCTTGAACACCGGATTCATCCCTTGGCTGGAGAAAAGGACGCAGGGAATCCAGACCGTGGGAAGAACAGACGAGGCTTGCTGGTGGATTGGGAGAGAGAGAACTGGCTGTTCTGGGTGGGAGAAAAGGAGGGAGAGAGAAAGAGAGAGAAAAAGAGAGAGAGAGAGACCCCCACCTGGAACATGCTTGTCAGCAAACTTGATGTTGATGATGTAGTTTCCGGGCTCGGTGGGACAGTACGTGACTTTACAGGTTCCGTCCTCCATGTCCTCACAGTTGATGTCCACTTTGCTGGGGCCTTCGATGGAGAGGCCCAGACCGCCATAGCCTGGCAGAGGAGAACCCAAAGGGCGTCAGAGCAGCAAACAAAAAGCATCTCTCTCTCTTCTCTCTCTCTCTCTCTCTCTTTCTCTTGCTCTCCCTCCATTGTTCCATTTTCTAAATATTTCAAACCGTTGAGCCTCAGCAGCATATTTTCGGGAAATGGGTCCCAAGGAGCAGGGAAAAACATATGCTGATTTTTTAGTCGAGAAGCGGGGAGTTGTGGTTTCTTGAACAACAACTCCACATAACTCCCCCTTCCCCCCAAAAAACCCCAGCAACGTGGGAGGTCCTGGAGTGGCCAGTCCAGAGGCACAAATTGGCATGCCTCTAATTTCTAGAGATGGTAGGGCTCCCATATCTGCGGCATCATTATATGCGGATTCCCTTATCCGCAGTCTGAAAATATTAAAAAAACTAAAAGAAAAAATCCTAGAAATAGATACTGTATTTCCAAAGGGGGAATGAGCAGAACTGGCCACCAGAGCGAGCCAGAGACCATGCTATGCAGGGTGTTTGCTACAATCCGTGTTTTCCAGCCTCCACAGGGGGCGGGGGTTTGAACCGATCCCCTGCAGATACCGGGGGGGGGGGTCCTTCTGTGTATCAGCACAAAGTGAAACAGACACATCCCTGTGGTCTTGAGTTTTCCTGGCCTTGCAGGCAATACGGGATGTGGGCTCTCTGCCCTCCACAGGGAGGAATGTGCCCTTTTTGGTCCCCACCACTTCGCCTCCTGCCACAGTCTGCTGCCATCCAACTTTCCCTCACCCGCGGTGCGCGTGTCAACGATGAATTCGGACACCTCGAACGTGCGCCCTTCCACAAGCCCCTTGCCGGACACTTTGACTTTGCTGGCGTCGCCGATCTCCGACTGGCCCACCATGATCTTGAAGGGGCTGTTGGTCACGTGCTTCCCGCTCTTCTTGACGCTCACCACGTGCTCGCCTACTTCCTTGGGAGTGAACGAGATCCCTGCGGGGGGGAGGGCCCGAAAAGGAAGGGGTGAGGGCAGAGCCACATGGCCAGAAGGACTTGCTTTGGTCATCTCATCCAAGACCAGAAATCTCCCCCCGCCACCCGTTCAAGGGCCAAATGATGGCATGGGAGGATTTCTATAAGAGTGGTTGCTCCACCTGTGAGCGGTTCAACAACTATTAGTGCACTTTGTGGTTGTCCAAGGAACTCAACCGCACTTTAAATCAAATCATGAGACAAACACGGAATCTGCATGCTTTGCTCTCACGAGGAAATGAAAAACGGCTCTTGAAGGTGCAGCTCCAGTGGGGGATAAGGATGAAAAGGGCTTTTACACAATGAATATTAATGATATTTTTGTGAGACACATCCCAGATGAGGATCATATATTTCCCTTTCCACCCTCTTTACATCTGACCCTGAGTAAGGACATACACACCCCGGTGTTTTTAGAAAGATCATGAGAAGGGGTACCCAAAACAGGCTGGTGTGAACGCGGACTACGAGATCACGCAAATATTCGGTATAAACCAGCCAAGACTTCTACCTTTTCTGCGGATTCCCAACCCCCCTGGTGCAACACAGGCTTGCTCACCAATGTGCCGATTCGGCAGGCGCTTGAGTAAGCAGGGCTCCTCGTTGCCCGACGGCGCCCGGATGCTGGCCGTCAGCAGGCTCAGGTCGCTCTCTGTGATCTTCAGAGACACGTCGGTGGAGGTGCCCACGTTCAGCTGGGACGTGCGCATGGAATCGTCACCTGAGAAGGTGGAGAGCAAGCCGTCAGAGAGCCAGGCTGGTGCGCAATGTCTGCGTCTCAGCTGGCGCTCGGAAAGAGCGTGTCCATTTCACGCGTTAACATTAACATCACGCCATTTGCATTAAACAGGAGGACGAAGCCAAACAAAGCCTCCGAAGAATTCGTCGGAAAGGGTGGTTTTCCTTGGCAGTTAAACGTGATTCTCAAAACCCTGCTCTCCAACAGAGTTGGGTGCCTCCTTTTAAATGCGAAAACACGGGTTCTGACTTTACCGGTCTTCACTCTAAAACATTGTCTCCAAACTCGGGTTCCAGCCCAGGAGCAGAACGAGAAGTGATGGAGGACGGGGTGGGGTGGAGGGGGGGAAAGCTACAAGGAAGCAGGAAGGACGGAAGTTGGAGGGAGGCGTTACCTGGGGCCCTCGAAGCCCTCACCTGTGATCTTGGCCGTGAAGGGGCTGCCCGAGATGTGCTTATCGTCAAAGCGCACGATGATGTTGTAATCGCCAGGAGCCGTCGGCAAGTAGGAGACACTGCAGGTGCCATCCTTATTATCCTTGCAGGAGATCTCGGCCTTCGACGGACCCTCCACGGCCAGGGAGAGGCCCCCTGGGAGGAAGAAGAGCTGGCGTGAGCAACGTGCCGACGGCACGTCCCGATTCGGCGTGACCCAAGCACAGTTACGGGCCCGCCGCCTCCTCCCTGCCCTCCAGGCCCACCTTCGCCGGCATCCTTGGTGATAATGGTGAACGTTGCCGGCTTGTTCACCATCCCGTGGCTGAGCCCCGGCCCGTAGGCGCTCACGTGGCGGGCGTTGATGGCATCCACATAGAACTGGAGCGGGCTCCCTGGATGGAGAGGGAGGGAAAACAGAAACGGATCACCGCCCAGAACAGCCATCTGCTTTCATATAGTCAAAGCTTGGAAAAGGGACGTTACTTAATGACCGAAAAGGCTGTAGTGCCAAAAAAAGAGGAAGCTTCACAAGGCTGTTCTTCCCATCTCAACTACCCTGTTTCCCCGAAAATAAGACCTAACCTGAAAATAAGCCCTAGTAGGATTTTTCAGGATGCTCATAATATAAGCCCTGCCCCAAAACTAAGCCTCAGTTAAGTGAAACTCCACCTTCCACCCTTGTGCAGCAACCAGAAGAAGAGGACAGGACTCTATTGGAATAAACGTAGATGGCTGTACATGAAAAAAATAAAACATCCCCTGAAAATAAGCCCTAATGCATTTTTGTGGGGGCAAAAATTAACATAAGACTCTGTCTTGTTTTCAGGGAAACACGGTGGTAGCATGGTCTCTGTCTCCCTCTAGTGGCCAGTTCTGGTAACTTCATCATTAGAAATATACAGTTCCATAAATGTTTCTTTTAATTTTTTTTTCTGGTAACTTCATCATTAGAAATATATAGTTCCATAAATGTTTCTTTTGATTTTTTTAAATATTTTCAGATTGTGGATAGGCGAATCAGCGGATACTGATCCCAGGTAGAGAATACTCAGAAGTGGTTTGCTCTTCCCTTTTTTCTGGGGTGGCGGGGTGTGTGCTCTGGGTCTGTGCAGCTTGCCCAAGGCGAGCCAGGCTGGCTGATCTCCTGCTAGGCAGAGCAGGGGAATTGAACTCCCAACCTCTGGCTTTGCAGCTAGAGACCTAAACTATTGAGATGTCCAGCCAGCACAGACAGACAGACAGACAGTCAGTTGTGGTCAATCACTGACCACTGACCACTGCATGGAAAAAAGCCAATTAGACTAGCAGCATTTCCCCCCCCCCCAAACCTCACTGGGCCATGAGGCAGGGTCCTCACCACCCCTGACGGCCTCAGGCATCAGAGGGCCCAGGGACAGCCACTTGGCCAGCCTCGCCCCCTCCCGAATCTCCCGCCTGAGGCCACTGCCCCCAGTCTGCCTACTGGTAGGGCCCACCTCCAGCCACCTCCAGTTCAACCCAGCATCGATGCGCTGGGTGGGGTCGCCGGATCCTCTCCCTTCCACCCGCTCACAGCTGGCCTTCCAGAGCAGGACCCCCTGGGGTGCAGAGCCCCAGCGGGTGATCCTTTTGGGGTCCCTCAAGAACCGAATGGGGCATCGCGACCCTCCTGGGTTCTAAACCCAGCTCATTCTCAAAGGCTCGAGACAGGTTTGGGTCCCTGTGGGGAAAGCGGGAACTGTCGGGAACCCTCCCCCCGCCCGTCTCTCTCTCTCTCTCTCTCTCTCTCTCCCTCCGTGGGCCCACCTGGTATGTGGTTGCCGTCGTATTTGATGTCCATCTCGTGCAAGCCCTTCTCCACGGGGGCGTACTTGACCGTCACGGTGCCGTCCTTGTTGTCGGTGATGTGAGGCCGGGCCGTCTTCCCAGAAGGCATCCGGACCTCCCCTGGGCAGGGAATGAAAAGACGGAAGACGGTAAGCGGGAAGAGGAAGGGCCGACTCCCACCCTCGCATGGAGGGGCCCCAGCTTCTCCTTCTCCCGGGCTCCCTGCCACCCGTCCCATGGGGGGGGATGACCCATGTTCCTAGAAAGAGCTGCTGCCCTGCAGGGAAAGTCAGAGTGGGCGACCCCTGTACCGACAGTGCCAGGGAGCTTAGACCCACAGAGACCTGTCTGAGTCCCATGGCACTGTGGTTCGACTGCAGTACTGCCACGGAGACTCCGCTCACAACCTGAGATCAATCCCTGCACATTCATGCCAAGCAGCTCAAGGTTCACTCAGCCTTCTGTCCCTTCAAGGCCGGTCAAAGGAGTGCCCAGCTCTTGGGGGGGGGGGAAGGGAGGGACAAGTTGTTCCTTGCACAATGATGTTGCTAACCACCCAGAGAGGGATTTAATTCTGTAAGAGGAATGAAGGGCATTCCCAAAGGGAAGGCTAATTAAACTGTGGGATTTGGAAGGGGGTGTGTGCTTGAAGACAGGGAAGGATGTAGGGAAAGGAAAAAGCAGCACCCACTGGGCCCTTTCTAAGAGGAGTTCTTAACCTTTTTGGGGGGGCAGGGATTTTTTTTTTGAGGGTCCAGTGAAAGCAAGACGTCCCCCAAATGGAGAAATGCATGTGACCCTGGACACCCCTCCGCAGGGTCTGTGCACCACAGGCTGAGAACCTCTCCTTCCCAAACTGGATTTCCAAACTTTCCACGGGTGGTAAGTCCCCTTTTCCCCGCTGTAAAATCAATTGCCTAAAAGACCCAAAGGCGTTGTTGAATTCAACCCCATGGTGCCACGTTGGCTCTCTGTGTGGCCACCATCCACTCACCCCCACCCCCACCCCCCACATATCACCCCACGGTCTCTCTTTCTCTCTGACCCACATCCACACACCGCCCGCCTGGAAGGGGGGGTTCCCGCTGTACCTGTGATCTCCCCCTTCTGCACCGTGAAGGGGATGACCAGGTTGAAGGGTCGC